CCCCAAAACCCCAAAACCCCAAAACCCCAAAACCCCAAAACCCCAGTTAAAAGTTGTCAACTTGAAATAATAATAAAATTAAATCTTAACGGCATTAGTAGCATGTCATATAGAGCCATAGTAGAGTTCGCCTTCAGCATGGATTCCTTCAGAAATGTCGGAATGTTTCAGCAAGGAGTTTATTACCTGACATATGAGATTTATTACTACAAAGAGAACAAGAAGATCTATGCGACCCCGTATGCCAACATTCCTTTCATTTACTCGGAGACTAAGGGGGAAGGTATGAGGAACCTCGAGCCAAGTGTGATCCTTGAAGACAAGCCTGTCTTCAAGACAAGGTCCTTCTGCATTAGATTCAGGCATGAAGAAATTCCAATGAATGAGGTCTGCCAATTCAGAGCTGAGGTTGACACTGATAAGGAAGGTCATTACCTCGATACTAAATTCTACGTTGAGACTAACCTCTGCTTTCTACGCTATAAATTTGATGGAACTGCTAATTCTAAGTTCATGAAAAATCTAATTGATGAAAGAAGGGATGAATTCAAAATTGTGAGCACCCAAGAATTTAAAATCACTGGTGCCCTTCATGGAGTAACAGAGTATCTCCCAACCACATTCAAGGGTGTGTATTTCAGTGTAGCTCATGGATTGATCCACACTGCACTCACTGACTTCAAATGGAGAGATTGTTGTCTCGCTTCTCTTGATATAGATGGAGAAACCGATGATAATGGAATTTATATCGAAACAGAAAGAAAACTCTCACTTGATGAATACCGAAAAATGGTCGAGAAGTACTCGTACAGGCCGGATTCTCTCAATGACTACCTCCTCAGCAATGAATCGGATTTCTACGTAGTGAAATACAACAGGAAGACGCTGGAGTACATTTTTGATACCTTCATTTCGCCTCTGATCCTCAACTGGGAGAACCTCAAACGGATGTACGAAACTATCCTGACTGAAGAAAGAGACAGCATTGTTAATAACTGAGGTCCTCATTTCAAAATAGAAAATAGCTGCGAAAATCTAGAATTCTGAGGCAAAAATTCTTGGAAGAAATTCACTCACGAGGAGGAAGACAAGACTGAAGACAAAGAAAACCAACCTAGTGATAAAGAACAAGCGACATTGGGTGAAGATTCTGATGAGGAAGGTAACTGAGATGTCGGTGAAGAGAATAGCGGTATTCAAAAGATTTATTCTCTTCAATATACTTTCAAAGAATTCTATCTCAATTACATCGATTTGAAACAAGCTTTCATCGAGAAAGTCTATACTAAAAATCCAACGACGCTGATCAAGAACATTGAAACTGAGTTTCAGATCCTTTCTGGTCAAGTTTTGCAGTGAAACTATGATCTAATGATGCTTCTGGGCTCTGCTCCAGAAGAGATCAGAGAATATTTCAGAGAAAAATACTGACAAAGACTTAAAGAGAAGGTCGAAGATAGCGTCTTCAGAAGCCACATGAAAACCTCTGATTTTGTTATCAGTGCTGAGAACGATAGTAAAGAGCTTTACAAGATCATAGCTGAGAAGAGACGGTCTAATGTCTATGATGAGCTCATTGAAGATCCTCCGATTGAGGATCTGACCAACCTCACCCATGATACTACCCCAGTGATGATAGAAGAGATTTATACAATGGAAGATTATAAGAGTGAGAGTTCTGGTCTCACCAGAGCTTCTCGCAAGAAGATCTACAATGATGGGCTCCATCTCTTTGTATTAGTGCATGGGTTTCAGGCTACTCATATAGATATGCAAGAAATCAAGAACCATATTGCAATGGTTGTCCCGAACTCTATCTTCTTGTGTTCCGAATCCAATGAAGGAGTTCGTACAGAAGGCTGATTGATAGAATCGGGAAGAAATCTCGCAGAAGAAATTTTTGATTTTTTCGATGACGAAGAAGATTGTGGAGAAGATGTCACCCAGATTAGCTTCATTGGTCATTCTATGGGAGGAGTAATCATCAGATCAGCACTTCCGCATCTAGAGAGATATAAGAAAATGTTTCATGGATTCTGCACTCTTTCTTCTCCACATCTAGGATATGCAGCTTGCAAGAGTAAGCTCATTAAAGTGGGCCTATGGGCTTTCCAAACATGGAAAAAGCAGAAATCAATTGAGCAACTCTCAATGAAAGATGCTGAAGACATTGAAGACACGTTCATGTTTAAACTCTCCCAATACAAAGGTCTCAAATGGTTTAAGCACGTGATGCTTTTCAGTAGCGTGCAGGATGGATACGTTACATTTGACTCCTCACGGATACAAATTTTCAAAAACACCACTCTGTACGACCCTGTTCGTGAGAGCAAATATATTGAAATGGCTACAAATATCTTCAAAGGTACAGTTACTCTATAATATCTAGGCTGAGATCATACTACAGTGACCAGAGTTGATGTAAGCTTTCTCAGTCCCTTCTCATTCTATTCTAGGTTAACTTCAGCATCAGTGGCAAATCTATTGATAATATGATAGGCAGGAAGGCTCATATTTCCTTCCTGTCTAACTCTGGCTTCTTGACAATGTTCACGAATAGATTCAAAGAGACCCTCTTTGACCAAGCACTTTAGACAGACAAGTTTGAAGATTTCTGTTTTAAGAAATTTCAATTTTGAGTTCGGCATACGGGGTTTTGGGGTTTTGGGGTTTTGGGG